CCAAAGGGGCCTGGGGAGGGGGGGCCGCGGTGGCTGAGGGGAGCCCCTGGGATGGGGGGGTGAAGCTCCTGTGAGGGGTCCGTGGGTGAAGCCCCTCCATGGGCAGAGCCCCGCACAGAGCGAGCTTTGTGTGCTGCGCTCACGTGAGGCACTCGGGGCCCTCGGAATCCCCGAGGGATCGGTCATTGAGGTTGGAAAAGACCTCTGAGGTCATCGCGTCCGGCTTGTGACCGATCACCAGCTTCTCCACCAGACCACAGCGCTGAGGTGCCACGTCCAGTATTTCCTTACACATACAGGTATGGGGACTCCACCACGTCCCTGGGCAACCCTTTCCAATGTTTTATCACCCTTTCAGTTAACAAATTCCTCCTGGTGTCCAGCCTGAACCTCCCCTGGCCCAGCCTTCTGGTGCTGTCCCAGTTCCATGGCAGCAGGGAGCTGTGCAGAGCCACAAGGGCCCCCTGAGCCTCCTTTTCTCCAGGCTGAGCCCCTTTCCCAGCTCCCTCAGCCTCTCCTGGTGCTCCAGCCCCTTCCCCAGCTCCGTTCTCTTCCCTGGACACGCTCCTCAATGTTCTCCCTGAATGGAGAGCCCAGAACTGGACACAGGGCTCCAGGTGTGGCCCCGGAGCGGCTGCTGGGACACTCGGACAGGTCCCTGGGATGGCTCGGACCCTGCCCTGGGTCTTGCCGGACAGAGATGAGCTCTCAGGGAGCCTTCCCAGCCCCGCCAGCACAGAGCCTGGAAGTGCCGTAGCCACTCGTGGCCTCCTTTTGTTTAGAACAACACAGCTGTAAATTCGGAAGGAAAATCAGTAGATTTAACTGGTGTTTCCTTACCCAGGTTGGGACTTGGCTGGAGTAAATCTCAAAAGAGTGATTGCATTATTGTTCTCAAGCCTAGGCTGTATACTTATTTAGGTTAAAAATAGCTAAAAATCATATCTGGCTAAGCTTTGGTGCTAGGTCATTTCATTCATCTCTAAGCACTTTCTTCTTCAACAGTGAAGGTCAATAAATAATCTGTCAAAGATGTGTTTCACAGTAAATTTAAATACTTTTGAAAGGCAATGTAGTAAAAACTGTGTCAATTAAAACACCATATATTTTGTTCTTCTGATTTTTATCAGTCATGTCACCAACACTGGAGTAGGCAGTGTGTGGTAACCCTTAGGAGCAGCAGCTCCCCAATTACTGCTGCTGTTAGCAGAGCTGATAAAGGCAATTATGCCTGGAAACAATTAATTGTGTTAACAGAGCCTAAGTTATATGCATCACTTGGCATGCACCACCTTCCTGGCCTGCTTTTTTCCCTACGTGGGTGTGGGTGTGTGTATTATTTCCGTGTGTGTAACTCTGGAGAGAGAACCAGGAGCCAAGGGAGCAGGGGAGGGAATGGCCACGTGGTCCTTGTCCTTTGGAGTTGATATTTTTGATCTAACTGGGGGGGGGTGGAAAAAAATCCATATAGTGAACAAATACAGTTCTGAGGCAATGAAGTTGCAGTCACACTCAGGAAGTGACCCAGCAGCTCCTGGCAGGACATTGTGATGACGTGACAGCTTTATGGTTGTTCTTTTGTCCTATAACTAAACTTGGCTCCCCACACCTCTCACCCTCCCTGAAGCCCTTTTTGTCATTATTATCCACAGGGAATAATGACCAGCAAGGTGACCCTGCTAGAGGAAGCCTTCCAGGCCTTCTGGCTGCTCGGTGCAAAGGCACTCCACAAGCCTGGGTGCGCTCGGAGGGAGGTGAGGGCGCAATGTTTGCGCAGCAGGAAGCTGAGCCAGGGTGGGGAGAAGGTGTTTAGTGATACAGGCATGCAGCAGGTATCACAGCACTCACCCACCCCTGCACACCTGCCCTCTGCTCTGTGCCAGGTGAGTCAGCAGCCGTGCCCTGGGCACTGACAGGGGTTTGCACAGTCACTACAGCCCTGCCTTGTTCTTTAAAACCAGTAGATAGTCGTCCTGCCAACGCAGTTCCACGTACCCTGTATTTGCACATGCCCATCAAACAGAGTTACAGGTTAAGCTGTCAATCTGCACATGCAAACACACGTATGGATATACACACATACAAACAGAGGAGTTAGTTGAGGGATTAGGAGAAGCCCTTTCTTCACAAGAACATTGGTAATTTGAACTTCATACCCAAACTAAATAAATGGTTTGGGGGCAGCATGGTTTAGAAGAGTCTGACTCAGCTTCGTGTTGTAAATCTAGTTTTACCACTGCCTTGCTGTGTGATCCTGAGCGGAGTTCTCAGATCCCCTCAACCGTGGTGCCCCTAAAAAGGGGGATAATGAGAACTGCTCGGTCACAGGTGACAACATAACTCATTTGTGCTCAAGTACAGCATGCATTGAAAACACTACTTCTCCCTGTGTCAGTAATTTGGATTCTGGTGATGGTAGAGAGGAGTCTGCATTAAACATCTGGGTTGCTTCGGAGTACTTTGGTCAGAACCTGCTTGTAATTGAGTTCTCCAGTTGTCCAGAAAAGCAGCAGAGGCTGAAACACAAGATAGAAGTCAACTGCTTCTGTGTAATTATATTTTCTATTTGGACAGGTAGGAGGGTGCCTTCCCATTCTGCAGTCCTTGTGGAAGATACAGGTTTAGTGACAGCACATCACTCGGACAGGATATGAAGGATTGCAGATAAACCAGGATTTTGGGCTACAGGGTTTATCAAATATTGCAGTGCTGCAGGCTGGGATTTATCGTCTCCCCAGGCTCGGTTCCTGTTTGCCTTTGCTGAAATCCTTCTGAAGGGTGACAGCATTCAAGTACATTAGAACTGTAAGCAGGCAAAGTACAGAAGTCAGGATTTCTTATTACAGGAGAATTGGAATAAAAAAATTTGTGAAGATTATGGGGGAAACCATGTAATGATGAATAAGAAGTCAGGCTCCAGTCTTGGGGAGAGCTGGCATCCAGACTAGTTTAAATAAGATGTTAATGTATTTTCTTTTCTATTTAAACTTGATCTTGACTTTTCTTCTGGTACCTCATATCCTTTTATGGTCAGTTGCACTGTACTCATGCATATTTATTAGATTTACACATATTTTGCAAGTCACCTTCACATCTTATTTTCTTTTCCCGGACAAACTGGTTGGTTATGTACACACTGAATTTGCAAATCTCATCTCTGGTGTCCATTAACCCCTGTTAGTCTGGTTGCTCAATGTGCAGATAAGTTTTGGGGCTTATTTGCAATTTAACTTCCTTCTGCATATTAAGCACAGCCAATATACTTCTGTTTAGTTTTCACAACCCAGATTCCTTCACACATGGAAATGACCTGCAGATTCAGCATCCTGGCATTGAAACAGCTGTTCTGTTGGAGAGATCAGTGCCCCTGCTGTCTGAGAGAGAGCAGGAATTAGGTGTTTGTAAGGTATTCCTTCCTTTCAGGGAGCTGCAGGTGTGAGAAGGTTTATTTACCTGCACATATTTTCCTTGCCTTAAGCTCACAGTGAAGCTGGAATAGAAGAGGCAGATATTATTTTTCCTCCCCAGACTAAACCACATCTCTGAAACCGAGCTAGAAGCACTTTCTGTTTGCTTGTGGCACTTCCAGACCTGCTGAAGGCCTAGAAAGTGCAGCCACTGAAACACACAGAGTTGGTTACTGAGGCAGAGGTTGGTGTGGCAGGAGACAAGTTGTTGGAATAAACACAGCTGTGTTTTTTCCATCGTTGTGTGCTCATTTTCTGGGTCAGGCAGCCACAGACCCTGGCTGTGCAAAGGTGCAGGGTAAACCCCTGTCCCTTGGGGAAGTGCTGGAACTGTAGGATCTACTCTGGGATTTCACCTTGGATGGGGTTCACTGTTGTTTAAATCAAATAAAGCTGTGGTTATCCCTATTACAGGGAATGGTTAGAGATTATTAATAGTGAGGCAAACAACCTGCTATGGGATATACAGTCAACTTTGCAGTCAGTTGTGCTTTCAAATGCTTAATTGCTTACAGTTCTGCCAGGACAGTCTTCAGTGCCCCCAGGTTAAGATTTCAGATCAATCCCTCAGAGCTCCCTGTGAGGACTTTTCCCTTTGAAGAAAAGGAACTTTTATCTCCATCACTCTGAGTTCTTGAACTGATTTTGTTCACGTTTCCCTGTAAATGTCAACTCTAGGAAAAGTCACAGCCACAAAATACTGCAGTCCAGGTTTTCAGAGGGAACAGTGGCCTTGTTTCCAGGAGAATATCCTGAAACACAGACTGCCCACAGGCAGCCAGGCCTGAGGGATTGGGCAGCTCCAGGAAGCAGCTCGTGTTCCAGCCCTGGAGCAGTTCCCACTGCTGCTTTGGGTGAAGCACAGCTTTAGTGCCAGGCTCAGTCTGGCCAATGGGCACGTCTGACCCTGATTTTCACTTCAAAAAGAAGCCATAGTTGGAATGATTTAGAACGGTAGGATTTTCTGTACAGTCCCAAGGTTTGTGCAGGCAAAAATATCTGCATTAGATTAATTCTGTTGGATCCCTGATGGTGTGTGGAGCTCGCACCCATGTTCCAGGGCATAAGAAAACCCTCATGGCTTTAGCACACAAGCAGTGCTGCTTGTCACATGCCAACAGCACAACAAAAGGGCCCGTTCAAGCCACAAGATGAGAGGCTTAGGGGAAAAGTAGCCTTGAGTTATCTGGATGCAGAAGAGAGAATTCAGCACCTGTGGCAATGAACAAAGTCAGGCCCTGTTATCAGCTTGGACTGGTGCCACCAGCAGAGACAATCTGCTGTTCCCAGTGTGCCATTTCACTGGAAATGAAGCTATTTGGACCTAACAATGCTGGGATTATCATCACAGCAGCCTTGGGAAACACAGTTCCCTTCCTGAAATTCAGTGTAATTTCTGCAATAAAACTAATCTGATTGCATCCTCCAGTTCCCTTTTTGCAGCCCTGCCTAGGAGGAACACGCAGGACACAAATTCTCTTTCCTGGCATCACATGTACTAATGATCATTGTCCTACCACTACTTCACAGGGTGAGCTGGCTTCCTTAGTTCCCAGGTAAACCAATTTGGGTTTTCCCCTAGTTATTTTATTAAGCAGAAATTAATTCCACTTCCATGAATTGGTGGCCACATTCTGCTCTCAGATACTGATAAAAATGCAGAATTAATCACTTGCCTGTCAGCATTGGGTGGAACCCCCAACCTCCTCATACCCATAGTGCAAATTTTCATCAAGCAGGAACTCCTGGCCATTTACTGAAGGGGTGATTGAGGAGTTCAGAGCACCACACAGGTTCCCTAAGTGGAGGGAGGGAAAACAAAAAGAGATCTTGTTCTTCTTCTGAGGCACAGATTGTTATCATATCACAAAAGCCAGCAGCTGAAAAGATTCCAGTCAGGAAGCACCGTGCTTTGAGAACAGGTTAGACTGCCTGTCCTTCCCTGGGAGACTGACACCCAACAGGATCCGGGATGGAAATGAGTTATCCCCACTGCTGGGCTCACAGCCATTATCAGATGCTGAAGTGTTTTACATACCTCCTTCTCTGTGGGCTCCTCTTGTCATTCCCCAGAACATGTGCAAGAGCAGCTGCATTCAGCTGTGGTCTCTGGTCAGATGTTACCTTGAAAACCCAGAAAGCAAAAAACACCCCCATCCAGAGCGGCTTGACATTGAGTGGCAGAGGTAGTATTTTATTTTTTTTGAGCATCCCTCCTCAAGGACACTAAATTTAGAGTTTGTAAAACATCACTAAATGAAAACAAAACATTGCCAATAACAAAAATGCAAACCTGCTGGAAAGGAAAATGCAGCAGCATTCAAGTATCAGAAAACATGAGAGCTAAAGTGCTTGAGAGAATTTCTTAACTATGCAGAGTCTGAAGTCAGTGTTCCCCTAAAAATGCTATTTTTAAAACAGCACCTGCCTGGCTGCATAGGATTTTTCACCAGTCTATAGCAGGATAACACTAATAAGCCTGAGCCATTACCCCACAGGCTAGGAGCAACACATTTCTTTCTATCCCTCATACTAAAATAAATTATAGTCAAAGAAACACATTATAAAGTTCAGGCAGCTGAAGTTGGACTTCAAGGAACGTGACAGAACAGATTTCCCATGCAGTGAAGTCGCTAGTGTGGCCTGAAGCTGAACAAAGCTTTGGTGGGATTTATAAAGTGCTGTCTTTTAGTGTTTTATGCCTGTCTTTAGTAGTGGTTTTTTTTCACACCAGCACCGGGGTTGTGAGTTAAAAAAAATTCTGAAATAACAGACCAATTCTCAGTGGATGCTGGAGCCAGACAGACATTGCACAGTGCACACAAATAACATTAAAAAACTACAAACAAATCAAACCAAAAAAACCCCAAGCCCCAAAACCTAACCCAGTTATGGTAAAACATTTCATCCTTAAAAACAAATGCCCACCAAGCACCAAGAGCAAATCAGAAATAACATCTGCCTCTCGGTCCCCTGGCTTGTCCCAGCAAGGATGGATACTACATGACACAAGCTCAGCAGCAATGGTTGAGAGCCTGAGCCTGCAGGCAACTCAGTGCAAAACTCTCCCAGCATTCAGCTCCATGGGAGTGATCCAGTTTTCACCAAAGCCAATGGGAACTCCCTACAGGCTTCAGCCAACTTTGGATTAGCCCCATAGATTGACAGAGGGAGCAGGACCTTATTTTACAGTCACCATTTTTTCTATCCAGCCACAAAAGCCACCCCCTGAAATTCCTGGAGGGGTTTTCAACCTTCCCCTCCACGCATGCATTTGACATCCATTACAGTTAATAGCAGTTACACATGCAGCTCGATGGGAGAAAAGTCCCGGTCGAGAGGAGTTACTGGTAGTAAGAAAAGAAACCCAGTAGAAATGCTGAGAATTGCTAAAGACCCAGCTCCCTCGAGTGAATCCCTGTTTTGCCAGCCGGCAGGTGCCCGCAGGCCCGTCCTGCAGGAAGCTCTATGGTGTGTGTTTGGGTGTGCAGGGTGTGTGACGTGGGGCGAGCCAGCGGTGCCGTTCTGCCACCTCCGTCCCAGCGTCCAGGGAGCGTCCGAGCGCCGGCCGTGGCCGCCCTCACTTGGGAGCGGCGTTGGTGAAATCGTCCTGTGCCGCGGCCGGCAGGGAATGGTCTATCCTGAACTCCTCCTCCAGCCCGCCGGGCGCCCTGGCCGAATCCCCCCGGGCTGCAGGCTGGACACTGTCCGTGCCGCCCCCCTCCAGCCCCAGGATTTGTCTCTGCACCAGCTTGGAATAAAGGCCTCCTTCTTCCATCAGCTCCTTGTGCGAGCCCTGCTGCACCACGCGGCCCTTGTCCAGCACAATGATGTTGTGTGCCCTCTCCACAGTGCTCAGCCTATGAGCTATGACAAGCACCGTGTGGTTCTGCAAGTCGCCGTAAATCGCCTGCTGAATCTGCGGGGAGAAAAGGCGTTAGTGCCCTGGCACTGGGAGAGCAGCGGCTTTGTGCTCTGTGTCCAGAAACCTCTGGACAGGAGATGTGCTCTCCTCTGGCTCCCTGCAGCGCTACCAGCATCAGCATGTCCAGCCCAGTTCCCAGCCCAAAGACCATCTCAGCCCAGCCAGGTGAGCTATGAACACAGGTCTGATCTTGCAAGCTGGGGACTTGTCACAGCTGGGGCCCCAATTTGGAGGCCATGTGGTGCTGGCAGAGACTGCAGGGAGCCAACACCTGGTTGAACACAGCTGCTCAGAAAAGCAGAGTTCTTTCCTGAGTGTATCAAGACAAGGCAAGACAGGCTTTTTTCCCAGTCAAGAGACAATAGCACTGACGTCTAAAGGCAGGCAGGTGGCCATCAGGCACATGTCACATTGACACCCCTGGGTAGCCAAAACCAGCCCTGGGCTGCCATCAGGTACCACACATGTGACTGAGGACCTGTGAGGCAGCAAGCTGCTCCAAGGTCAGACACTTGCGCTGCCCCAGCAGGATTTGTCCTCTGGAACTGGAGGCACATCCTGAAATCCCAGCCTTTAACAGCCTTTCCCTTGTGTCATTGCATGAGGGAGGCCAAACTGATGCTGGTACATCACATCCCAGACAGATAAACCAGTTCACAGGATACTCAAGGCTTTTCCTGCAAGTGTGGCTTCCTTGGTGCCTTGGCTGGGATTTGAGCTCAGGCAGTCCTACCCTCCTTGCTGCAGCCTCATTTTATAGGGTCCTCTTCTGTATCCTGTCCTAAAAGGCTGCACAGAATCTCTGTATGTCAATTAACACTCTCCACACTGCAAAAAATCAGCAAAGATCCCTTCCTCATCAGGTTTGTCAGGCATTGGTTGCTGTGAGCATGGAATTATTCCTTTCCTGCTGGCTATAAGAGCATTGGAAGCAAATTCCTGCCACAGAATTAGCGCTTTACTCAACCCTCTGATGGCACCATGTCAAGAGCAGGTTTATCCCCTGGCTGGACACTGAGGCTACAGTCTGTCCTTCAAACCCTCTTTGGCCCAAACACCCAGGTCACCCACTCACCGCGTGCTCGCTTTCTGCATCCAGCGCGCTCGTGGCTTCATCCAGGATGAGGATGGGAGGGGCTCGGATCAAGGCCCTGGCAATGGCCACTCTCTGCTTCTGCCCACCCGACAGCTGAGCTCCTTTTTCACCTGCCTCTGTTGGGTCAAGGGAGAGAGGAAGGGGTCAAAATAGAAACCAAGAGCTGCCAGGAAGTGCAGCTGCCAGGCCCAGCAGTGGGTGGGTACCTGTGTGGTAGCCATCCTGTAGCTCGGTGATGAAGTTGTGGGCATTGGCCTTTTGGGCAGCCTGAACCACTGACTCGAAGGAGGCAGAAGTTAAGCCATAGGAAATATTATCTGCAATGGAGCGGGCGAACAGCACGGGCTCCTGGCTCACCAGGGAGATCTGCAGGAAACAAGGGAGAGC